CATTATATATTCTAGGGTGGGAAGAAATGTGTGAAATCTTAAATGAGAAATTTCAGTCAGTGTTTATTCAGGATCCATATTTTGATATGGCAAACACCCATACAAACATAAAGAACATCGAAAATATCAACCCCAAAAAGAATGAAATAAAAGATCTACTAAAAGGCTTTGACAAGCAGAGGGACCAGATGAAATTTCTAAACTGGGTTCTCTGGGAATGTGCTGAAGAATTATGTACTCCTTTTATTGTTAATATTCCAAAATTCACTAAGACAAGGTAAACTATCAAAAAGTGGAAACACACAAATGTTACACCCTTATATAAGAGCGGCGACAAACAAAACCCACTAAATTATAGACCAGTTTCATTAACTAGTGTAGTATGCAAACTGCTAGAAAAGAATAATTAGGGGTTGAAATGCTTGAAATACGAAATGATATCAAATAATTTGGTTTTAGAGAAGGAAGGTCGTGTGTAACAAATCTCCTCTGTTTTTATTATAGAGGTATCTGAAATACACAAGAAAGAGACGGCTGGGTGGATTGTGTGTATTTAGACTTTAAGAAGGCTTTGATAAGGTGTCTCATAGAAGACTACTATGGAAATAGAGCACCTAGGTGGAGTGAAAGCAACCTACTCGCATGGATGAAAGACTTTCTCATGAAAGACAAATGAGTACAGTAATTAGAGGAAAGCATTCTACATGGCACGAGTAACCAGCGGAGTGCCTCAAGGATCATGTTGGCGCTGATTATGTTTACTATTTTGTCAATGATTTAGAGTCAAACATAAACCTAGGTAGTTATCTGAATATGTTTGCAGATGATGCAAAAGATACAAAAAAGGGTAACAGACGTCTCATGCCAATGCCTCCAATGACATTGAGAACTTATTCACGTGGAGTTGTACATGGAAAATGGAATTCATACCACCACGTAGTCAGGTTTGGAGAAAGTAGAAATCGCCCACTATTAATAAAATTAGGGGACGCAGTATTAGACACAGCTGACAGGGAAAAAGATCTTGGATAATCATAAATAGAAACAAATCCAAATGACCATATAAATGAAAAGGTCCACAAAATGTTAGGACTGATTGCCAACATGAAGAGGGCATTCGTGTATGTGGACGAAGATATGGTAAAGAAGATTATTAAGCAATCATAAGACCAAATCTTGAGTACGGTGGAGTGGTATGGAGTCCACATTCTAAAAAAATATTGACAAACTGGAAAGAGTCCAAAGAGCGGCGACAAGATGGGCACCTACCCTAAGAGATCTGAGTTACGAAGACAGACTACAAAAATTAGGACTTATAACCTTGGAAGAAAGAAGGAAAAGGGGGGATATGATTATGCTTTTCAACTGCATTACAGGAAGAGTGAAGATAGATAAGGATGACTTTTTGATCTTGAACACAAGAAGAACGAGAGGACACAACAAAAAGTTGAAAGTAAAAAGAGGTGATAAAGATGTCAAAAAATATAGTTTCCCAAACAGAATTATTGAATCGTGGAACAGTCTCCCCAATCAAGTAGTGTGTGCCAAAACTGTACATCAATTTAAAAAGTTATATGATAATTTAAATATAGCAGACGGGACCAACTGAGCATAGCTCTTCTCCCGTATCCAAACAACTAGGTAAGAACAACTAGGTAAGAACCCGTACACACACGCACGCACACACACACATCCGTACACACATTCACGACACACACATACACACATGCACGCACACCACACATGCACACACACACACACATATATGCGCACACACACATGCACAACAACACATACACACATACGCACACACGCACGCACACACACATACGCACACACACGCGTGCTCACACACACACACGCATACACACACACACACATACACAGTGACAGCGTCATATTACATCGTTAGTGATATTCTTAGAATCAAACCTGAATATTAGTGTTTGGTAAATACACCTGTAAGCCTACGAAGCTTTGGGAATTCCATTGGTTATATGGGTATCTTGGATGCAAAGTTATAAGTGTATCTTAAAGGCTAGGAAGAGTAACTGTGGTAGTTGTTTTCTGGATGATAATTGTATGTTATAGGCTGCAGTTATTTTGATTCTCTTTAAGCATTCATTTTGTTTTAAAAATCAGTTATTTGGTATATTATATTTTGTTGAATGTAATATTGCATACTGAAATTCAAAAACTTGAGGAAGACAGTGAGAGTCACTGTCATGTCTGACACTGCCAAAATTTTCAGGATATTTCTGTATCACATACAAATTTGATATACAAAAATCAAGCATATAAGCATTTTTTTGCATGAAGTATAGACAGAGAGGTTGAGGGTTATATGGTCCTTTGATTACACTGTAGAGGGGAGATTGATGCAATAATACTTTATCTTGTAAGGGGGAAATATCTTATTCTGTTTCAGGGGAAATGTATTGCCCTTAAGTAGTTTAGTTCTCTCAGTATTTACTACTGATACATCTTGTTTATTATTATGGCTTATATATTCTTTTGTGAGGCAAGATCATGTTTCCTTCATTCGTTCCAAGAATCTTTTTTTTTTCTTACTTCTGTAAAAATGTATACTGTAGTTTTAAGTGAAGGTAATGCAAGTGTTTTAAGAAGGAAATTATTTTACACTCATTTTTTATTATAAGATTTTATTTCAAATTACTCATTTGTTCTCTCTAATGATATTTATTGATATTCTTTTAGCATTTCAAAATAAAGATTTATTTTTGTACGGAAAAGGATGAAAGTTGATGTAGAACATGTATAATGATATAAAATTCCTTTCTAGTTTGGGGCTGGATGAGCGACGCAACAATACCTACACTCCTAGCGAAGCAATATTCTCTGGTCTTTATTCATACCATGTAGCAACTAATACATGGACTAAGCTAAGAGATGATGACTGTGCAGGAAATGGCACAGGACCTCAAGATATTAAATCTAGAATTGGACACTCTATGCTCTTCCATAGTGTAAGTTGACTTCTCTTTCCAATGTTATTGTATTTTCAGTTATATGTATATATTTTTTTATGATTGGTTAAGATATTGAATTGAGACTATTTGTGATGAAACTGCTCAAGGTTATCTTAACAAAGAAAGTTACGCATACCTTTACCTTTATTTTTCCGACAGGGGACCCGGCAGCTATTCATACTAGCAGGTCAGAGGAACAAGGAGTACCTGACAGATTTCTTTACCTACAATATAGACTCTGACACTGTAACATATATTAGTGATGGATCTGGAAAAGATTCTGCCTCAGTACCTGCCGCTGGATTCACTCAGAAAGCAACAATAGACCCACAGTTAAATGAGATCCATGTTCTGTCGGTAAGTATGATGTATGGTTTATCAGTAGAATTATATTTTAGGCAGTTGGCAAACATAATGATGATGATGTGAAAAATACCACAATACATTATAAAGTTATGATTGACAAAGATGACAAAGAATTAGCTTTGGAGTACTCTCATTCTTACTAAATTGAGGAAAAGTTGTAAAATTAGTTTGAGTTGATTTTTTTTTGTGTGTGTGTGTGTGTGTGGTAACTGTAGCTGACTTTGAAAATTCATTTTTCTATGGAGAAAAATTAAATGGTTGGACCTGGTTGCGTCATGACAGTTATATGGGCTAAATATGGACATTAGGTTAAGTTAGTGGCCACTCTGCTGGGCATGTAGCACATAGGCCAAGTACTTGTGTGCGGTGACAAGACTCAATGCTTCCCCTTTGCAAAGTTATTTTCTATAAACTTTTTTAGCTTTTTGCCATTTTCCAATGTCCATATTTAAATGTCTTTTGAGTTCATATGTCTAGGTGATGAGAGAGTTTTCCTTGCACAGACTCCATGTCATCTCTTTGTGTAGTAAGTCACTCATTTTAACCCATCGCCAACAGGTAAAATTTTTGGCAAGTTGACGTATGCACGGGCTTGTTGGCGCGCACCGGCATTTTCCCCTGTTTGCGCCCAGCTCGATCGGTAGTATGCAAGTGACATATAGCACCTAAAAGCTTTTATTTTGCTAAAATTATTAAAATATTAAAATTTTGAAGGTTTACCTTCATTATAGGTGCCATTGCCTAAAATCTTTACCTTATAAATAAGCCTCTACGATCGGGGAAAAACAACCTCCGTCCGATGAGCCAGTAGCTCGGGAATGGGCATGACATGATGCCCCCGGCGTTTGGTCCAAAACAGCCATGGCATGTACGTACGTACCACCCGGCTGCAACGGGTTAAGAAAAAAGAGAAAGAAAAGTAACATTTTGTTATTTGTATCATATATCTTATTTTTTCATAATATTCAATTTTCCGTAATACAACCTGTGCTACCAGTCACAGCACCCAGGAATATGATGTTGAACATGAAAATGGCATCCTCTCTAGAACTGGCAGTCTTCCTGTCATGGCTTACAGACATTATATTCCACATTTGTTCATCAATAGGTATAATGAAAATACCCTTTTCTAAATGTCAAACAAGTCTAATCACCTTCCATGAGGTTTGTGCACTCAGGGCGTCTTTTCTGTCACCCTAGCTTTTGCTCATGACATCAACTGGCCCGCTGTCTCATGTCACCTGGGCCTCAACCAATATTTTTTCATGACATGATGGTCACGTCACCCATCTCTCAACCAAAATTCTTTCATGATGTGATTGTCACGTCATCCAGATCAAAGGGGTTACAAAAGTGAGAAACATATCAAGGACATGTAATGTACTCCCCATCAAGTTAGATGAATACCATGAGGTATATCTTAGATAATGCTCCTTTTTTAATTTGAGGAGTGGCCGTAGTTCATTATTTTCCAATGATATAGATCTTTAGAATTGACATTCTCCCTCTTAACAGTCACTGTAATACATGTTATATTGTAAGGGTCATAAATAATGGTAAATAGTTTTGCCATGGTAGGTAGGTTATCTTTGGTAAGAAGGGTCCTTTTCACATTTAGTAATTTGAAATCTTTACCATTTTGTG